TGCATTTCGATAAGTGGTCGTAAGTTATAGAAAAATAAGCGTGTTTGCTGACCTGCATTTGCATATGAATTCACCAAGTCACTCTAGTAACATACTTATGATGCAATTGCTCTGGTCATTTGAATTAATGGTCAAATGGATCATCATTTTGTGCTTAGTTAGATTGTTCCTTCTCATCGTATAGATCATATGAAGTACCTCTGTTGACACACAAGATTAAGCAATACGCTAAAGTTAACTTAAATGTCTTGGACTCTTATAGGCTCCTTATGAAACAAGGCACCACATGGAGCAGTGCATAAAAGCACTCTGCAATGCTGATGTAACCGTTGGCTTCAAAATTGGGAGAGACGTGTCTCTTCCAGAAACTTATGTACGATCTGCGAGGAATCCTCTTAGAGATCTTGGAGGAAAACCTGCATCACAGAGGCACATTCTTGCCTTTTATGCTGGAAATATGCATGGTTATGTACGTCCAATCCTACTGAAGTACTGGAAAGACAAAAACCCTGATATGAAGATCTTTGGTCCAATGCCTCCTGGTGTTGCAAGCAAAATGAATTACATTCAGCATATGAAGAGCAGCAAATACTGTATCTGTCCAAAGGGTTACGAGGTCAATAGTCCCCGAGTTGTGGAAGCCATCTTTTACGAGTGTGTACCTGTGATCATATCAGACAATTTTGTGCCACCATTTTTTGAGGTGTTGGATTGGGAAGCATTCTCAGTGATTGTTGCAGAAAAGGACATTCCCCACCTACAAGACATACTGCTTTCGATACCAAAAGACAGATATCTCGAGATGCAACTCCGAGTCAGGAAAGTACAGAAGCACTTCCTCTGGCATGCCAAGCCCTTGAAGTATGACCTGTTCCACATGACCCTCCATTCAATCTGGTATAACAGAGTTTTCCAGATAAAACTCAGATAATATTGTTGAAAGTGCCTCATTGAAGATTCAGAGGAAATCCATGGAACTGTTAAATAACTTCACAGAACAGAATAACTCACCTTCTCTGCCTTCGCAGCGTCTCTCTGGAAAGGATTCTTTCAACCTCAGGGGGCATCATGTGAAAGACCTTGAGAATGGATTGCAACTGTGGCAGTGCCCTTTGTATATACAATGCTTTATCCTTGTTCCACTTCTGTATAGTAGACTGATGAAACAAAACTACGATTATTTGTCAATTTTGCAGTAGAAACTGTGATTTCGTTTGCCCCAACCTCCTGTTGTGAGACTCGAGATTTCAAATCATACCGCCCCGCCGTGCATCGCTGTTCGTCAACATAGTAAGCCATTTCCAGGACCACAATGGAAGGTATTACTCTTTCTTTCGGTCATCATCCACATCCATCCAAAGCAATAAATGTTTTCACTCACTGGGTCCATCCAGTCCTTCAACTTGAAGAGCCCCACCTTCAAAAACCGTATTCTCAGGGATCGGAATCTGATTCCTATGCCATATATCATATCTATATGGCGCCACAACATGAAGCTTCCTATGAAAAACAGAGGCAATGTGCAATGACTGGTGTTAATGATCTTGGTAGGTTACTATCAAGAAAGGGACCCTGATAATCAGATATTTAAGATCTCCTACAGGGTCTACTTCACTAATGAGAGTTCAGATGATCATGGAGAGGTACCCAAAAGAAACTAGAACCAAAATGTAAGTGATTCTGGCCCCCCCTGAACCGAGTGATGTTTACTAACAAAATGGTAAAATTTCTTTTCCTCTCTCTCTCTTTTGGGGATGTATGGTGCAAAATTAGAGATTTTTCACTCTGTAATGAGTGAGTGAAAGCATAGCTCCTCCCTTCTGGGTCCTTCCTAGCTCGTTGTCTTCAATACCCATCACTTATTTTTTTCTTCTCACAACTCCAATAACCACAATAAATTTTGACAGATTTTGAAGGTGTCCCCATGGCATTAAAAGATGAGAAATTTGCCAGGCTACCAGGATGAAGTCTCAGCCCCATATCCCACCATTATTGAAGCAGGAGGGAGGGGGAAGTGAATTTCAATTCCAATCAAACTCGTTTACTTTGTTATCAATGATTCTTATCAAAATCTTTCTCAATCTTTTCCTTAAACCACCAAGGACCAAATCTAAGCTGCCGCTTTTGATGCTTCCTTGCAGGTCCATTTTGAGGTAACTAAACGCATTATGGAGCTTCCATGTGCACTCGCTTTTACTTCTCATAATCTATATGCTTAATCCAAACAAAATAAAACATTTGGCAGCTACGTAAATAACCTCAGTTCAAAACATCTCTGTCTGTCTGTAGCTTTCTGCTTTCAAGTAAATAATTTCTTCCTAAATTAGAAGTTCATGTTAAAATAAAATAAACAATACCATTATCAATCAATCCTTGTTAGTTTAGTTAGTGGTGACCGAAGCAAACGAAAAAGAAAGGGTAAAAAGTCTTTGGAGAACAAATGAGTCGAGTACGAATAAACTTGATCGAACCGTTAAAACAACTAAAAGTTTGGATTTTTTTCAAAATAAAAAAAAAAATATATATATATATATATATCATGAGCATGGAGGACACATGGATTTCCACATGGATTTCCATGTGATGGAGATAGAAACATCAAGAACTTGGATTAAAAAAAAAAATATTTGTTTAACTTGAAAAAAGAAAAAAAAAAAAAAAAAAAAAAAAAA